AACCCTTTGCGTGATGACTTAATCCGTGTGACAACACTTTAAGTGACAGCTCTCACCCTCTTCAGATGAAAAAACAAAAATAATATCAGATATGCTGAGTCAGTTGTTTGTCAGTGGTAGGATTTTAGTCTAGAACTTCCAGTTTGCAATCTGAACTGTCGGCAGCCCCATGAACGTTGAATAGTGCTACTAACTGGACAGCAGGCCTGTGTTTATCCATCCAGGCTTCTTTCCATGGGTCTGTATTTTACCAGTTTGCTTGGCTTCCCTGCCATGTTTGCCAGTTGTTGGATTTGTCACCCATTGCCTGTCATGGTCTCTGGTGCTTTGGCTTAAGCAAGCATTGCAAATCCCACCTGTGCAGTCTGTTCAAAGCTCTATTGATCTTGTCTGGCATTTGCTTCTCTTGGGCTCTCAGTCCTGGGCAGCTGGACAAGTGGCTGCTGAAGCAGACTCACAAGGCCACAATTGTTTAAACAGTCACAATTGTTTACACAACTCAAGGCTCTTGCTTAATGGGGAGGGCATGGCATGGGGTTCACTACAGTGGGTGGGAAAGGGACAGTGGTCTGTCTTCTGGGAACCTCAGAGCTCTAGAGCGCTCAAGAGACATTGTTACAGAACTTTGTATCTTAAAGGAAGTTGTCTCTGAGGCCCTATGACATGAAAATGTTTCATAAGGGTGTCTGAAGGGGGACCAAGGCCACCTCTTCACTCCAGAAGGTGATGAAGATGGTGATGCGGGTTCCAGGGAAAGTGAGGTTGGGATGCTCATCTAGATGGCCTTCAGATGTTGTTACTTAGCTGGCATCTCAGTGCCATGTCCTGCACGGTCTCATGATTCACTGCACGTTTGGCCTCCCAGAGTAGAGAATGTGGTAAAAGCTGGTGAATGAAAAAAAGAGGAGGACATGACTGCTCCCAGGCATGGTGGAAGAGAAATTTCATTGTAGATATGAGGGAGAGCATAGCCAGAGACAGAGATATATGGGAGAGTCCAAAGTGGATATGACCCTGAGCCAGACCATGTGAGAGAGAGGAGAGGGGAGAGCTGGAGACCAAAAGGCTAAAAGGGAAACAGCACAAAAGGTAAAAAGGACCACATAGCCAAATGACTGGATAATATAGGGAAGAGCCTCTGGGGAAAGGCAGGCTTCCCCCTTCCCTCCCCACCCGCTGGAGAGTTCAGGGTAGAGGGTGGGGTAAGCCAGTCATACCCTGTAACAAGTAGGGAAGGAGGGATGCTGGGAGAACCTGGTGGCCACGTCTGCTTTGATATGTTAAACAGGCACCTCAGTTGGCCATTTGTTAGGTTTGAGACCTAACAACTGGTATGTTCTGCTGTATTAGATGTGTGTTACCTCATTGCCAACCAGAAAAAGCCAATGTCCTCATGTAGGTTTCTGAAGCTGTCAGTGCACAGAGGAAAGACTGGGTTTCCAATAGGCGTGGCTTGAAGTGATATGTTACATGCCTCATGCAAGATGCATAGTTAGTGACGAACAGAAACCACTTCTACGGAGACGCACACACCTCTCACAGCTGTAGCTCATACTTGGTGTTAGCTCCCCTAATAGTGTGGCCTCCATGAGGTATGTGCTGTTGAACCCCCTTTTACACACAAGGAGAGGGAGCAATGTGGTGTCTTGGTGACAGTGACTTCACAACTGTAGAGGAATTCTGCAAGGAGAGGTGTTCCCCCTTCCCAGTTCTTCCAGGGGCTCTGGCTGAGCACCGTTTCCTGTCTCCCTCATGGAAGCGGGAGTTTCCTGTTCTTTACTTGGTGACAGTTGTCCTTAGTGGTGCTCAGGTATTAGCAAGGTCTTCTACCCCTACTTTAAGGCTTCTGAGGAGAGAATCCAAGCAGAGCTGGAGGATGGGCTGGAAGCCTTTCTCACAGGGGCCTCAAGTCACCTCAGGTCCACGGGGTCTCTGAAGCTTTCTTCTTTCTTGTAAGCCAAGAGGTTAATGGGTGGGGAGTGTTGGCTGTGTCTGGCATCCCAGGGAGGCCTCGGGATCACAGCCCACACTGGGTTGAACTACTGTTCAAGTTGGAGAGGAGTCTTTTCCATGGTCGCTGGCTAGTTTACGTAAACATGACAGAAGTTAGAGTCATCTGAAAAGAGGGAGCCTCAATTGAGAAAATGCCTCCATAAGATCAGGATATAGGCAAGACTGTGTAGCATTTTCTTAATTAGATTGATGGGGGGGGGAGGGTCCAGGCCATTGTGGGTGGGGCTACCCATAGGCTGGTGGTCCTGGGGTCTATAAGAGAGCAGGCTGAGCAAACCGGCCATCAGTGCCCATCCATGGCCTCTGCATCATTTCCTGTTTCCGGGTTCTTGCCCTGTTTGAGCTCCTGCCCTGACTTCCGATGATGTTGAATAGTGATATGGAAGTGTAAGCCTTTCCTCCTCAGCCGCTTTTGGTCACGGTGTTTATCACAGCATTAGAAACCCTGAGTAGAACAAACAGGAGGGCGAGTGCCAGTCTTCTCCAGCTAAATTTCCTCAATGAACTCCCTGCTCTAACTTCCTATCTTTATTTCCTGCTTCAATTTCTTGTCTGGATTTCCTTTCTTAAATTCCCATGCTGGTTCTCCTCAGAGCAGTCTCTCTTCCTAGTTTAAGAAGTTTGGAGGCCAGGCAAGCTCAATCTTGGATAGGCTCAAAATAAATTATGATTTTTGTAGATTATCTGGGATTTTTCTAGGTTTTGGGGGAGTGGTAGTGGTGAAAAGCCCTTCCCCTTTAGTATGACTGCACACAGTGCATCCTGAAAGAAACAACAAATTTCTCCCCCTCTTTCAGGGATTATATCTTGGGTCTCACTCATGCCCAAGCACTCCACCATTGAGTTACATCTCCAGCCCTTTTTATACTTCTTATCTTGAGATAGAGTCTTGCCTTATAAAGTGCTCAGGCCGGTCTTGAACTTGGGATCCTCTTGCTGTAGTCTCCAAAGCAGCTAGATGTATGGACATGTGCCACCAGGCCTGGCCTGAAAATAATAGTTTATCATATTTTTATTTATTTTAACTTTCTCATTTTAAAAGTTTGGGGTTGGGGGCGGGGGAGACGGCTCCCTCTACAAAGTGCTTGCTGTGCAAGCAAGAGGACCTTGGTGTGATCTTCCAGAATTCACAGGAAAAATTAGGGCACTTCTGTTAATTCAGCACTGGGGAGAACGAGACAGAAGGATTTCTGGGACTGAATAGCTAGACAGATGAAGTCCAGACTCAGTGAAAGACCCCCATCTCAAAAACTCAGGAGGTGGCGTGTCCTCTCTCACATATAGATGGTGGCTTTGAATCTTTAGTTATGTGTGTTTAAATTGGAGCACCCATAGAAGTCAGGAAACCAATAAGGAGGTCTGGGGGTGTCTTTTAAGAGAATGAGATAGAATGCAAGTGCTATGAAAGGGTGGGAAATATAGAGCTGTTGGCCACTGGGTCTAAAACATTACAGGCTTTTGTCATTGTTCCTGGCTACCCTTTTGAATTTGAAGGTAAGACCCTATTGCTGAAGACATCACATACTTGAGTTGCAGGAAATATGCATAACCAGCTGCTTTCTGATTGGATTTAAGGCCCATTTCACAAGACAGCACTCACACATGATGCCATTAACAGAGCCAAGAACCTGAAGCTGGGCAGCTAGGGGAGAACCCACTGTTATCATTCTGTTAAATGACATCAAACTGACCCTGAAAGACTTGTCATTGTGCCCATAGATAAGGGCATCTCCCAAACCTCATCAGAGAAGTTTCTTTTTTTGCAGTAGATGGTGATTAGTATAGAAACCTACAACGGGTCAGAGTGCAGAGAATAAGTGACTGTGGTGTGCTCAGCACTAAAGGGGACAGACATCTATATTATATACCTCCCTCTCAGGGTTCAGGGATCATTGAGAAAGAGAAGGTGGAAAGATTGGAAGAGCTCAAAGCAGTGGACAACTACAAGGAAACAGTTCCCTGACACAATGCGGCATTTGGGTGTTGCGAGATGATGGGAACAGTGAGTGTACATATAAGACTCACATACGATCAAGGCAGATAAAGTTCCAGCATGGAGGTGGGAAGGAGGTCATGAGGTTCCACCCCTAGCTAAGGAGTTATTGGCAACTGATGGCTGTCAGAAGAGGGAGGGTCCATTTTCTTCAGGAATTTGAGCTCTGCCAGGCTGCCCATGCTCTAGTAGATGGCCCCATACTCGTGTGCATACTGGGAGTACTAAGTGGACTCTGTGGGATTAAAAAAAGAGAAAGAACACACAGAATTGGGAGAGTGTAGTGATGGCAGGGACAGAGGAGGGACTTCAAGGGAAGGAATGGGAGGTTGACTTGAAACACATTAAACAGATGTATGAGTGGCATGGCTTCTTTTGCTAAGCTGATACACATGTTTGACTTGAAACACATTAAACAGATGTATGAGTGGCATGGCTTCTTTTGCCAAGCTGATACCCCGAGTTCAATCCCCAGGACCCACACTGTAGAATATGAGAACTAACTCCTGAAAGTTGCCCTCTGACCTTCATGTGCATGCAGTAGCATGCCTACACATCCCTAAACTTTCACACCTGGGGTGAGGATAAATACATAGGTATATAAAAAAAAATAAGGCATGTAACGATAACTCTTTGTGCCAGCTGCCTGGGTCCTGCCGCTGCTTTAGGGCCCCCAAATAACATACAGAGTCTTATATTAGTTACAATGCTGCTGGCCAATGACTAGGATTTCTTATTTGCTAGCTCAGTCTTAATTATCAATCATAACTACTAATCTATATATTTTTATAAGGACTTATCTTACCGAGGATGCCAACCTTATGCATCCTCTCTTCCTGTGATCACATGGCAACTCTCTCCCTTTCCTACATTTCTCATAATCCTCCTCCTCTCCTAGTCCTGCCTAACTTGCTTCCCTATTGGCCAACAGTGATTTATTTATCAACCAATAAGACAAACATATACACAGAAGGACCTCCCCCATCAAAGGTGGCTACTGACCTGGCAGAGAAGATGCCATGGTCAAGGATATGGTTTTCCCAAGGCTTGTCTTATCCTTTGTACTCCAGATGTTCTGAGCCCCATGAGTATAGGAAAATCAACTTTGTAATTTGTGGTAGTTGGGGGATTGTGTTTGTGCTCTCTCCTAAAATATAAGGTGGAGAGTAAATGAGAAAAGCCCTCCATGTGACCTACACACACACACACACACACACACACACACACACACACACAGAGAGAGAGAGAGAGAGAGAGAGAGAGAGAGAGAGAGAGAGAGAGAGAGAGAGAGAGAGAGAAGGTTGCATGTATACTGGCATACACACTAATGCATGTACACATAACTTGGCAGTTACATGAAGAAGATGCTTCCTTAGAAGGAGGTAAATCCAATGTATATCTGTTCAACAATGTTTACTGATTGTAAGAAAAAGTTGGCAGCTCATTAACAAGTTCTGGAAACAGACTGAATGGAGTGGGTCTGGTGGCTGATGCTGGCCCAGGGCCAGCAAGCATGGATTGCTCCATGCCGGTGGGTCTTCTGGGCAACTAGAAGCCCCTTTTGGTGGTCAGTGTGCACCGTGCCTAGCACAGAGAGCCAGGATGGAGATAAGGGTGCTTTATTCAACTGACACACTTGGGCCTCTGCAACCCACCCAAGACAACCTTCCAAAGACATCTTTGTCCTCTAGGGAAAAGGAGGCTAAGGAGATGGTCAAAAGTTGTCTGCAGTTTTGTGGGAGGGGAAGGGCAACTGAGGAAATCAGATCAGAAGAGGGATCTGGAAGGGAAAGACATTCATCAAATGGTCCAAGAGAGGCAGGTGGGACCAAGCTTTAGGCCTGTGGCAGAAAAGAAAGCTTGAGAACACAAAGCTGGGGCAATCCAGGCAGTGGTTGAAGGTTTGATAAACTCCTCCATCCTGTGGGACCTGATCTCTATATGCCGTAGTGCCCTCACAGATGCTGCCACTGTACATTGGTAGTTGGGTTGGTTAAGTACCATGTACTGAGAAGGAGAGACAAGTAGTTTTGACAGGAACACCCTGGGAGGGCCCTGGGCACCCCACCCCTTTCCCCCAGCCTCAGACCTGGCTTAGGGCACCGCTTGCCGTTTTCTGTGCTCTCTGGACTTGTAGTTCTCATATCCCTAGCTATGAAGAGAGAGTGTGGCAGCTCCCTTCCTGGAGAGACACTGGGAGGAATTTACAGCCTTTCTGCAGAGGGGTAAAATATTGCTGTGGGCTTGAGGCTTCTCATCCTGCTTGGCTCCTCCCACAGTCTCTCAGAGATGAGACTGAGTGATGTGTGGAGGAATGGAGAAGGCGGGGTGGGGTGGGGACAGAGAGAAGCAAAGAGATATGGGATAGTGGTGTGATTGAAGGCATTGCATATACACAATGAGAGACAGAGAGACAGACAGAGAGAGAGGGGGGAGGGAGAGAGATATACACAAAGGGTCTGTGTTATGTTTTGGAGGTGAAGTCCCCTCCCCAACCAAGGTTGATCTCTAGTGGCACTATCTGGAACTATTAAGAGGTAGGAGCCAGCTGGAGGAAGTTGGTGGGTCATCAAGGGATTCTATTCTTTCCTTGCTCTTTCTTGCCTCACTCTTGGCCACCTGCTGTGCTCTGTGCATCCTGTCTACTGAGAGGTAAATAGCTTTAATCATACACACTCCCTCCATTGCCATGAGGTTCTACTCAAACACACAGGGCCTCACAGCCAATGTATGTGCCTGATACCTCAACCATGTAAAGCAGGACGTCACACTCCGTCCAAGGTTGATCTCTAGTGGCACTATCTGGAACTATTAAGAGGTAGGAGCCAGATGGAAGAAGTTGGTGGGTCCTCAAGGGATTCTATTCTTTCCTTGCTCTTTCTTGCCTCACTCTTGGCCGCCTGCTGTGCTCTGTGCATCCTCTCTACTGAGAGGTAAATAGCTTTAATCATACACACTCCCTCCATTGCCATGAAGTTCTACTCAAACACACAGGGCCACACAACCATTCATAGAACTCTCCAAAACTGTGAGCCAAAATAAATATGCTTTCCCTTAAGCCTTTTCTGTTGATGCTATGCCAATGTATGTACCTGATACCTCAACCATGTAAAGCAGGACGTCACACTCCCCATAACCCCAAGCTTCTCTGGAAAGTAGAGGACACTGGACTGGGAGCCAGATACTTGCCTTTGAGTCTAGGCTGTACACCAGTCAGGGTTCTCCACAATTTCTGTTTTTGATGGCCAAGAGAAGGGAGGCCCCAGGATGTGTCTGGGAAGATAGTGGGTGACTTGGGTGGCCTGGTCAAGCTGGCCTCCATCTCAGGAGTCTTATCTGAGGTCACCTTTGAGGTTGGCCACCACCCTACCCTCTGGAAGCAGCAACTGCTTTTGAATAAAATCCTTAGGCTGCCTCATACAGGTCTGGCAGGGTATGTCATGTTGCTCATCATGGTTTTTAGGGCCTGCAGAGTCCTGACTACCCATGTCCTACTGGGGGAAGCTCTGGAAGAAGCAGGTGTCACCCATCTTTCAAAAATATCATGAGAAGCCTTCAAGTTCAAACTTCATGTGTAGTCTCATGCTTTATTTGTCTGTTTATTTTTTGTGCATATGTCATATTGTGTGTGTCGTAGGTCTCTCTCTCTCTCCCTCTCCCTCTCTCTCTCTCTCTCTCTCTCTCTCTCTCTCTCTCTCTCTGTGTGTAGATGTGTGCATTTTATGTCTACATGGAGACATATACTAGGCTCACATCCAGCAGACTGCAGTGATCCTCCTGGCTCCACTCCCCTCAGTGCTGGGATTACAGGTGCACACTCGGCCATGTTCCAATTTCAACACAGGTGCCAGGAGTTTGAACTCAGGTCCTCATGCCTGTAGACCAAGCATTCTTACCTACTGAGACACTCCCCTAGCCCCAACTTGCCTAATTTAATGCCACTGACAAATATCCTAACACGTACCCACACTATTGTGATATGAATACAACAGTATGCAAGCAGGCTGCTTCCCGAGGTACCCTGCTGAGAAACTAAGTCCTGCACCCCCACCCCCCAACCCCGGGTTCCTTCCCTGCTCACAGGATCGGCCAGCTCCTACTGATGACACCCTTCTGGGTGTGCAGGCAAACACAACCAAACATTAAATAAACACACACTAATTACCCTGAAATATTTATATGTTGGGGTTCCTCTGTGTTGAATAAGAAATTATTGAAACATACATCACCCACCGTGCTGTTCATCACTGGTAAATATATTTTAAATACAGCAGTCCATTAGTAATTTAGCCTGTCTCCTGGAGAATATGCACCACATCAGACAAATGTCCCATGCTTCAGAGCCAAGGGAAAAATTTCCCCACCTAGTTAATCTTTATGTTCTCTCTGCAAGGAAATCCCAGCTGCAAGTGCACGAGAAATGTTCCCTTGGGGCCAGTACTGATGGCTACTGTCCTTGAGGAACTTGTGGCTGAGGAAGGGAAGCCGTGGCTCTGGAGAGGGCCAGGAGTAGGTGGGGTGACCAAGGCAGGTGTGTTACTTCCCTATCAGTTAACCTAAATGCAAACTTTGGAGCTGAAGATGGTATAATGCATGTTTTGAGGGTCAGTGGTCACCATAGACCTGTCCAGTTGGGAATCTGGTTGCAGAATTGTTGCCCTATGTGCAGCCTACCTACCTGACATGGCCTATATGCTTTTTTTTTTTCTGGTGGGATTGGTCAGAAAGGGATAGGTGAAGTAACTATTTACTGAGAAATATCCTGTCAGTCTCTGCTTCGGGAGACCAGCACATGTGCTTTGTGGGACCTTCTCCCCCTGAGCTGTTTGCTCAGTTAGCAAACATCTGCTGAGCATCCACTATGGACCAGGTATTGTTCTAGATTTGGAGGGCCTGGTGAACCATGACAAATACATCCTGTCTTAGGGAACCTACCTATTAGGTGTGGGAGGTAGACAACAATCACATCGATCGGCTCGTCAGTAAGTAAGAATTTTTCCAGAGCAGATGCAGATAACTCAGATATTAGCATAGGGGACAAATGTTGGCAGAGTAGAGGAGATGGTGGCTAGGAAAGATCTGGATTTGAACTCAGAATCCAGTTTTGATCCTAGAGATGAGGGAGTGGGAGAAACTGATGATGTCTTTGAAGTTGCAAAAATGGAGTAGATGGTATGTCATTTCCTGTGTTTTGGAATTCAGGAAGGTAAAGGGCAGGGCTGCAGCATGGAACACATCCACAGTGCTGCAGGCAGCTGGGTCTGCTACCCAGGAGAAAGGCCACCGGGACATGAACTGAGCCACTCCTTCAGGAACATCTGGGCTCTGTGTACAGGGGTAGACAGTTCCCTGGGCATGCTATCAAGTGTGTGTGTGTGTGTGTGTGTGTGTGTGTGTGTGAGTGTGCGTGCATGCAGAGAGAGAGAGAGAGAGAGAGAGAGACAGAGAGACAGAGAGAGATAGAGAGAGATAGAGAGCGAGAGAGAGCATTGCTGGTGGTGCTGGTAAATACCCACCCTCTCTGGGCTAGCTTCCCAGGAAAACTCCAGTGGCACTGAGACCAGCTGCCACTCACCTGTCACTGGGTACTTCTCCAGGCTTTCTTCTTCTCTCTCCTACTCCCTTGCCCTACTCTATTCAATACGCCCTCAAACTCCCTGGGCTTCAGTCTGTCTCAGAGTCTGCTTCATGGTGTACTGAAGTGAGGATCGACATTTTCTGGCTGCCACAGGGGACACGTGGGACTGCTCGTCACAATGTTGACTGGAAGGCAGATTTCCTGGGAAAGGGGGTGTTGGGTGGAAGTAGAGGGGGACAAGAACTCTGTGGCATGCGGATGCAGAGGAGATGAGTGAGTTCTCCTTGGCACATACAAACAAACAGCTAGGAGTCAACACACCCAAACACTTAGGGAAATTCTCACCTGCTGCGCTTCCCTCTTTCTGCTCCCTCCATGGGCTGTGAGATCAGAGTGGTTTTCCCAACAGCTTTCACATCCTGCTAAAGTCTTGGCTGCTTGTTTTCTCCTCCCCCCCCAAGACTCTGCTGGCTTGAAATTCAGTAAGGTTGAAGTGGTTGGTGTGTTTGTGGGGTGCAGGGGAGGAGTCCACCCCCATGCAATTTGCCGCCTTTGAGGAGGAACTAGCTCTG